TCAATGTGCGCTTTGAGAAATGGTCTGTGCGATCACCATTGTATGCTCTACCTTGATTACCATCTTCGACCTTTCCTCTGTATACGCCCGCGACCTCCATGCTTGCAGTGACAGGTCTGAGTTGCAACCCCGGAATTCGATTCGGACTTGCTTGGTCAGCGTCCAACTTTGCTGGAGACGTCACTTGTATTACATTTACGACACATCGTATAACAATGGCTGTTTGATGGTGCGATTGCAGGCTTACATGTCGCGTCTGCAGACCAATTTGTCAACGTGTTTGGCATTTTGTCACACTGATGCGCCCGGTGTGCCGGTATATGGTCTGGCCTCTGATTGCCGTTGCCTGAGTTGTTTCTTTTGTTGAGGCTTGCAGATTTCGTTCCCCTATGTTTTTAGCATGCCTTGCTTGACGTGGTACACCAAAAACGTTACGAACATAAACTACAGTTACGAAATAAGAATTTTTGCAACCTTAATCACAGCGTAGAACTGTTGCATACTCGATGTTTTGTGTGTGTGTGTGTGTGTGTGTGTGTGTGTGTGTGTGTGTGTGTGTGTGTGTGTGTGTGTGTGTGTGTGTGTGTGTGTGTGTGTGTGTGTATGTGTGTGACTGGGTGGGTACGCGTGTGTATAGGTGTGTGGGTGTGTACGACAATAGGTGTGAGTTCCATGTGCTTTCGGCTGAATGAGGTTTGGGCATAAACATGCGTGAAAATTAAGATTTCCGAGGTGTTCCAAATGCCGTCATCAGATGGCATTGCGTCTGTTGGGTAGATGGGTGTGGCCATGCTTGAACAGGCTCGGCTCGTCTCGCGGCGCAGTGACACAGACGTCAGGCCTGTTCCGCTCCGGCGGAGATATTACCCGGTACATTCTTCTCGGACTTCTCAGGGGGCAGGACTATATCTTGCATTCTGGCCAGAAGCCCATGTTCCGTGTCTTCGCTGTCCCGAGGCGTCACCTTTCAGCGGTAGTATAGCTGTTACAGATCATACCGGTTTTTACGACGTCGATTGCAAGTGCGTTTAACACTTTGTGGATGTAGTGAGTCACAATCAAAAAACCATTCGACAGACCCGACGCTCAAAGAAGGAAACCTAAAACAGAGAAGTTCAAACTAAAAAACGACGACGGCGCCAGCTTTAAAACCTGGGGAAACGCCGAGCACATCCGGGCCTGTGTCGTGAAATCGATGATGTTTGCCTGCGATCATATCAGACGGTGCTTGAAACGCTGCCTGGCAGCGTGTTCAAAGACTAGCTGCTGACCATGTCTGCACCTTTATTATTCTACTGAGCCCTGCCAAATATTCCGGACGGCCATGCGGCTGGCACGGCTCGCCTGCGGCGGATCGCTCATGCCAGGGCCATTGGTACGGTTTCCCACCATCTCGACATCGCCAGCCAGTCCTCTCGCGCGGAAAACGTGCGTCAGGAGACAAATAGCGCGCCGAGCGACAGCCCGCTCTGTACCGCATCCACTATTAGGCCGCCCGCCGTCCAATAACGTGCCCGTCGGCGCCGTGTGCCGGCCGGCGGCGGGCTCGGCGGGCGGCGGCGCGTGCTGCCCGGGCCGTCCGGAGTCCGCTCGGATCGGCCAGCGTCGCGGGCTCACCCACGGACGGTCAGGGACAGGTGCAGATGCAGGGACGGTCACGTTCAGATGTAGATACGGTCGGGTTCAGATGCAGATACGGTCGGGTACAGATGCAGGTACCGTCGGGTGTAGATGCAGATAGGTCGGATGTAGATGCAGATGGGGTCGGTACAGATGCAAATACAGTCCGATGCAGAGCAGATACGGTCGGATACAGATGCAGATATGGTTGGGTACAGATGAAGCAGCCCACCGCAGGCAGAAACTATGGCGGTTTGGTGCGAATTATCTATTTTGTAAGGGAGTCGGTTCTGTTGTTCTGCCATTCTTTTGAACCAGTACCAATGGATTAATAATTCAATACGGAATGCATGCATTTTTTCTTAATGCATCATATCGTATATTCCTGTAATTTTTGATAGCACAGTAGGCATACAGTACATAAGGCACATAATCAAGAACATATTTTTTCCATCGTTTGTGCGCGATCTGCCTGACTGCGCTGGGATGACGTGCGTACAAGCTCGATTAGCACCTGCTCCGGCAGCCCACGCATTATGTTTTCATCGCAAGCACCGCACAGCATTTCCTTTTTAGGCCTTGGACGCAGAGCCGTTCATTAATCTTGCAATCTGTTGTCACGTGTGTCGGGCCTTTGATCGGCACGATCCTGGCGACGGGCGCCGTCGAGCGCGACTGAAGGTATCGTCTCAGTCCGTTTACACGATAGCCTGCTGCGGGCTTCCCACCCGTGTTGCTTCTTGCGCGCCATGTTTGGGAAAATCTCAGTGCACTGAGCATGACAGCTTTGTCAACTTAGCAACATCATTTGCCGGTGTCAATGACGATCAAAGTCGAGATTGTTGACAAAGTTGTCATGTACGCCAATGTAATCGGTGAGCGTGTCGCCACTGGTCGTCTTACGCCGTCCAGGTCTCAGAATATGTAACCGGTGTGGTGAGATCGGACGTTGAATGCATAATCCCAGTAACACCTTACGTTACACCACATTCTGGTGGAAGTTATTTTCCCTTTCCTCAAAACTTGCACCGATTTGTTGGGTATGTGTAAACGCAATGCAGGTGCAATATTTGGCGACTGTACCTTGGTGTGATATTTGTTTCGTCTAACTCTTGCGGTTAGAATCTTGAATTACTAATCCCAAAATCAATACACAGGTAAGCATCTTGGGTGATGTCCTACTCTGCTTTCACAATTCCTAAATACCTATTGCATACTTATCAACCAAGAGTTCGTCTCCGGAACCACCAATTATTCGCATATATCTGTCTAACTGGAGCTACATTTTCTCTTTGAAAGCAGCACAGCCAGGGCGTAGCTGAACCTCCCCTATACCCATATTTTCACCACATATGGCTATCGCCAAAAAGTGAGGAATCGGTGTGATGCACTCTAATCAAACTCCGCCCCTCCCCTCCCCCTTAAACACCATCCTAGCTGCGCCCCTGAGCACAGCTTAAGTGGATCTTTAGACGCATGGTTTAGTGTTGCAGCCACATTTTTGCTCGACGCCCCTCGACAGGCGTACACGTCCTATAAGCACCGGACCCAGCGGCGTGCCCTCTAGGGCAGCCGTATGACGTTAGAGCCGAGCCGCGACGTCGCACGCGCGCGCCGGCCGATACTGCGGCCACGATGGATGGGGGCCAATCACGCCGAGCCGGCTCACAATCACAGGAAGGATCGGGGAGATACTCGCCGCCGGCTCCCAATGTGCCACCCGGTGATCGATGCGCTCTGGACGGATAAAGCTTCTTAGGCCATATCTGGACGGGGAACAAAGGGAGCGGCCGCGGCGGCAGGCCGAGGAGCAAAAATCAACTCCCGTCATGTGCTGTCGCGGCTTTTGTAGAAGATTTAATTTGAGATTGACGCAAAAGCTGCGAAAGTCTTGGTCGGACGAGGCTCGCAAAAGGTCTCTCTCTCTCTCTCGAGCGAGACGGAGAGCGGAGCGAGAGCGAGAGAAGCGCGAGAGAGTCGAGAGAGAGCGAGCGAGCGAGAGAGGAATCGCGCGCGCGAGCTAGCGAGAGATCGCGCGCTGTGAGGCGCGAGAGCGAGAGAGAGGAGAGCGAGAGAGCGAGCGAGAGCGGAGAAGAGCGAGAGAGAGCAGAGAGAGCGATAGAGCGAGAGAGTAGAGAGCAGGAGCGCGAGATCTCTCGAGCGAGCTCGAGCGAGATGCTCGCTCGAGCTCTCGCTCTCGTCTATCGATATTCTCTCTCTCGCTGCTCGCGCTCGTATCTCGTCTCTCTCTCTCGCTCTCTCTCTCTCGCCATCTCTCTCTCTCTCTCTCTCTCTCTCTCTCTCTCTCTCTCTTCTTATACTCATCTCTCTCTCTCTCTCTTTCTAACCGGTTGTGATTGCGTGACTGTAGCAGGAGGGATTATGCCTACATTCCTCCAAAGGGAAGATCACATCAAAAATCCTCCAAGCAAAGATCAAAGGAAGTATATATATATATATGTATATTTATATATATATATATATATATATATATCATGCATATATATATGTATATATATATATATATATATCATGCATATGTTTATATATCCATATATGCATATATGTATCCCACAAATGTTTATATATGTGGATAAATATACATCAGCTACATCATCCTTGCGAAAGGATGTAGCTGATCTTCTGCTATTTTTTTCTTGTCGATCTGCCACCTTCATCATCAGACTATGCTCTGGGTTGACTTCTTCTCTACTACCCTTTTTCAACTGCTTTTCTGCATATATGTATACATATATATATATATATATATATATATATATATATATATATATATATATATATCATGCATGTGTTTATATATCCATGTATGCATATATGTATCCCACAAATGTTTATATATGTGGATAAATATACATCAGCTACATCATCCTTGCGGAAGGATGTAGCTGATCTGCTATTTTTTTCTTGTCGATACGCCACCTTCATCATCAGACTATGCTCTGGGTTGACTTCTTCTCTACTACCCTTTTTAAACTGCTTTTCTGCACACAAATATGTGGGGATAATCTACGGCAATTCTCGCCAAGGTTAGTTAACATTAGCCGATGATGCTCCTTTCTATGATGAGGATGTTCCTTTTGATCCAAAGAGGACGACTTCAGATACCCTGTACACGTTCCCAGCGCTAGATCAGATGGCGTTCGGTCGGCATGCAGCTGACAGATTCCTTACCGATTGAATGGACATCCGGGTGTCGGTCCCAGCCCGCGGGTCGCCCAATTGCTGCCGTCATGTGCATCAGACTGCGGTCGCACATCCGGTAAATCGTCCGCCCGTGCCGTGGCCAGGCTGTCGCTGGGGACCAGCGGCGAGCCAGCCATCGGAGCCGCCAGTGAGCGATCGACGCCTCTCTTTCGCAGAACAGCGCCGAGAAAATGGTGCTCCTCTCCAACAACATGGCGTCTCAGTCGAGCGCCAAAGAGCGCCTGCACTGTCGACGGCGACACAAGGACAAGGGTGGGTGAAATAATGCTCTGTCCTGACAGCAGTGTTTGTCTTTGAAGCTTTTTCATGGATTGCTAGCTGGACTACTTTCGTGACATTTGGATTCTGTTTTATTCAACTCGCATTCCGAATGCGAGTGGTTTCGATATCCTGCACTTGTTCACTTAGTATGGTAGGTGAGTTGCCGTTTCAAGCCCTGAGGGGCCGCAGCATTCTTTGTCACTCGCGGCGAGGTCTTCTGCAATTTGTATGCATCTTGGCTTCCCTTAGCTTGCTTGCCCTACATACTCAATCCCGTCATCCATTCCAAAGACAAAATAAGGGTCTACGATGGACAGTGAGGAGAGCATGGCATTCCTACCATCTTACTTTCAGGAACCTGCTTCCATTATGCTGTCAGATAGCATAATGCATGCGTAGATACCTGTATCCTTCTTTCACTGTCATTCCCAGCCTTATGTAGATTGTGAAATGTAGATTATGTAGATAGTGAAGTGGAGGTGGAGGTGCAATTAAGACCGCCTGCTCTGGATATCAGATATCTTCTTCGCGGTTGCATTTGTTCGCGCGCTAAGCATGAGCTTCGAAGGCCCTTTGGCTGTGATTAGCGAATTTTCTTGGCGACTGACCAAAAATATGCATCTCGTACCCACTTATTTACGCGATTGATGATCATGGACAAACGTGCAGCCTTTTGTAACCCAACGAGCATGTCTCTTGATCCCGGGCGACCAGACGCCACGCCCGCTCCTGCGCCGCCCCTCAGGACTCCGGCGCGGCCCCTCACGACGCGCGCCCGTTCCAGAGCGGAGCTGCTGCGCGCCGCCGGTGGTGCCGGCGCTGGAGGGCAAGCGGGACGTCAAGTCGACCGACCTCATCTACCTGCAAGGTCTGATCGCCTCGCCCACCGAGGAGCAGGTGAGCGGCTCACCTGCTCGTGCACGGTGGTGGTTGGTGACGGCTGGCCGCCCGCCCGGAGGGTGGTGGTTGGGGGGGGGGGGGGGGGGGGACGCTGAGCCTCGGCAGCGCCCGACAGACAAGCAAACAGATGGAACGGACGTGTGTAGGCCAGCAAGCAGCTGTTTGGTGTCTCAGGACTGTGCTGATGGTTCGACTACGAGGGTGTACGGCGGTTTAGCAACGATGCGAATGACGCCATAAGCCTATCAACCTAGCGCTCGTAATTAAGGGTGTGGTTAAGACACTAATCCACCCTAGCTATAGATTTTAGCAAGCGGATTGGCCGTATATATAAACATTTGAGAGGGTGCATTTGCAACGTGAGACACGGTGCATTTTGCAGGAGGCTTAGATCATTGATTATGCCTGTCATTTTCTGAGATTGAGGAGACATTAGGTCAGACGTTATGGAATACATTAAACAATCAGCATGGCCAGACCTCGTCAAAGTTCAAATATTCGCTTGCAGTGGTAATCAAGGACGTGTCGGTGCGCTTCAATCGTCGTCTTTCGCCGGCGGATAAGCCGGACCTTATGAGATGCCTGGACCTACGGCTCCCCTGCAATAACTCAGGCTGCTCCCTTCCTTATACCCTCCCGTACTCGTATAATTTTCATCCCAATGCCCTCCTCCCCGCCATACACCCAGGATTTCGTCTAAATCGATGCCAAATCTGATCGAGGGCACCTGATAACTAAGGAGCTTCCTGTTTGTAGACCAAGACAAAGTTCTACTTCTAACCCTCGCCCTCATCCGCCGTTGTTTTTATTTTTCCCCAACCCGGGCTGATAGCGGTCGATGCCGTCCGCGACATTTCCAAACTAACAGAAATAGGGCTGAGAAAAAAAACACAGTGGTTTGATCTCGACAAGTTTACGTGATTGTTAGTACTAGTTTTTATGTTTTTAGATCAATAACTGACCTTGCTATGACAAGTCAAAGGAAATATTTTCCAGAAATCGCACTATTTCAGCTCTACAACAGCACACCTACGAGATCATACTTGTAGCCTAAACAGGCGTGTGTTAAATCCTGAATACAGTAGTGTATATTTGTATGCGTTTGAAGCATATCTTCATGTTATATGGCTCCAATAATGTAGGAATGTCGGCCCGCCTCAGACGCGTTGCACGGCATCGTGGTTGCCGCGCGCCGCCCGCGCCGGCAATACGTCATCATGCAGTGTTCCTCAAAACCGTCGCTGCTCCGAAACCAGAAAGATAAAAGCACGTTCGTGGTGTCCGAACACGTGGAGTAAAAAGCACATACGCTGCTTAAAATTTGCGCGCCATTGCCCAACATCTCTGAGACTTATGTTGAAAAAACCTTTGGGAGGGGGGGGGGGGGCGATGCATCGACCGTTGGCAGGTCGCGGTGGACCTTGCAAGGTTTAGGTACTTTTTCTGTAGATACTACTGTTCTGATGCCTCATAAGTCTATTTGGTTAGCTAAGTCTCGTTTAAGAACACCGTAAACGCCCTAAGTAGCGTATACAGTGGCACTATGGAGCCATGCTGTCCTCTGGGGGTGCGGGTGCCGTTCTCGAGGCTGCATGCTACGATTCGGTGGAAGACCCGGCACGTTTTGGCGCTACAGGGCGCGCATAGAGCGCCTAAAACCCAGAAAATAACTACCAAGCTAACTAATTGGGCTGTTCAATTAGCCAACGTGAGTCTTTCAAAAGTTCAAAAGGATACAAACCTAAAAGTAAAACCTTTCCAGTCACCGTCGATCACATTTCACACAGGGCCTCATGTCACCAAAGGGAATTCAGGCCTTGGGGTTTCTGGAGCCCGATGTCTTCTTGCGCACGCTGCCGCTCCCATACTGTTTTTGTTTAAGAAACAAAAGATGGTGAAAATGAGTGATGTGATCAAAAGACGGATTGTATGAAGATGAGGCGCTGCATGATATGAACATGAATGAAGTGATGCAAGCATAGTGTGAAGATGAAGTGAGCATGGTACGAATAACCTCAAAGAAACCTGGAATCGCTGTTGTCAACGCGGCGTGCTCTGAGCGGAAGTTCGGCCGCTGAGATACCGGAAATCTTGTCGGAGCTGAACGGAAGGGGAGAACTTGTCCGGGCTGGCGTAAGTGAGCTTGGGAAGAGCAAGGCTGCCCGCCACGATGCCATCATTTGTGAGCTTGGGAAGAGCAAGGCTGCCCGCCACGATGCCATCATTTGTGAGCTTGGGAAGAGCAAGGCTGCCCGCCACGATGCCATCATTTGTGAGCTTGCCAAACGGCCTTGTGGACTGCCTTGTTTAAAAAAAGCACTTCGCGAGGCTTCTCAGATGCAGGATTCTTGCAGTGTGGTTGGTGTGTTATCTCTCAGTGCATGTCCTCGCCACCCAAAAGCTAGCACGCCGTTCTCATCTGGCACCCGTAAAGCTGGGGTGCGTGCACACCCGCAGCTTGGACGACCCCGGCCTATAATATGTGCCCGAAATATGAGCTTTTTAATAAGCGCCTAGCGTCATTGACATTTGGCCACCGAATGGCGCTTAGCGGCGTTGGGTCTGACAGTTGTAAAAAATCGGAAGATCTCACACAGTGCGCACATCAGGATATTTAAGTTAGCGAAACGTTGTTATTAATTGAAGAATTTGGTACTTTCTGTATGTTTCGTCCAAACCATTTATTTGTCTGGCCATTAATGCTCGTCATCCTAATCTGCATGCATTTTTGTGCTTTATCTTAGCTGATCGTGAGTTTATTTTCATGCAATGTGATCACATCAAGTCATTTAAGCCAGTTAAAACATCCCCGAACCCTCATGCTTATAAATTTTGAAACCCAGGGTCCACATTTCGGCAGAACATCAAGTTCCCTCATCTTAAAGGGCATCGGATGGCATGGAGTCCTGGTGGCTTCACTTACAAGAGCTGGACTTTGTTCCTGAACGTTCTAGAGCCTCTCAGACAAAACAGTTTGGACGCCCCTGATGCCCCGAGCACCATCTCGGCAACCTTTGAACATTTGCGGGCACTGATGCAGTGTATGTTTCTCGGCATTGTACTCCTTTTGATGAGAGCCTTTGTCCAGTTTCTACTGAAGCAGGTGTATCAGCCGTTATTATGAGCCGTCTCGTCCTGAGGACAACATAACTCAGCCCGGTGGCCCTGGTAGCCGCCGCATTGATAGACCAATGTTAGATCCACCTGGGCGTCTGTTTGGATACCTTATGCCATTTGGGCCTTGAGCTGTATTCGAGGAAACGTTTTGGAGTTCTAATGTTTGTTGTGGTTTTCTGGGCGCTAATGGTTGCCTTGAATATTGATGTGAGCTCTTGATTTTGCATGCGATGTTATGACTCATCCACATCTTGCCGATACTCCTTTTTTTGCAATTTTGGGACCACTGACTGCCTCGAGACTTGTAAGAGGGGATTAGCTAAAACGCACGCATCGTATGGGATATCTTTCTTTTCTGGCTCTGTAAGTCTGTGAGCCCAGACAAAAAGACAGCTTTGCACCAGACGAAAAAAAATTCTCAACGCACAGTTTGAGCATAATGGTTCCCTGAATCGGAACCAGGGGCGGATCCCGGATTTCGTTAAAGGTGGAGGGAGGGAGGGGGGGGGGGCACGCAACATTGTGGGGTCTCCCAAGAATTAAGGACCCGTTCAAAAAATCCTCGCATTCTGGTCGTTAAGTTTCGGGGTTCTATGGGTGCTATTTTTTAAACGGGAACCCACATTACTGTGCAGAGCCATAGGAAATTAGGCATGCTACGTATGTACATTCGTGGACTTTATTCATTTTTATGGATCATGGTGAATACTGTCATTTTGAGGTTGCGCATTTTTTCCGTTTTTCAGAAAAGAATTATGGCATAGCAGACTAAAATTGGCTGCTAAATATCATTACAATCAAGCACGAACATGACTCCTACGTGATTTACGGTTATCCGGCTGATCGATGTCATTAGCGATGACTGATGACTAAGGCAGGGTTTTTGCTTTATTTGTTGTGAAGCGATGCAAGATATTCTGGTACTTGCCATGAATTAAATGCGTGATGCATACACATGATAGATGCGACAAATTCAATGACCTATGAAAATGACGCATCCTACGTTGGCGGCACGCAAAGTCATGTTCGACAACTACGCGTAAAAATTAAGCTTCGTTTAACGCATGGCATGGATTCCGAAATACACTTGTGACCCCCATGCGAACAACGACTGACACCCAATACTTCAAAGCGATACGAAGCCTGCCGACATTAGGAAGTTGCGTCGTACTTTCGTTGTGTACTGCATATCGGTACCAGGAAATGGCATACTGCATGCTGTTGGCGTGCTGCCTGGAGTCCAAACCAGCCTGTACTGGGTCCAGCGCCGCGCCGCCGGGGCCACGGGCCCTCAGACCCAGAATTCTCGGCCAGGCTGTCGCCGGGCCTCTGAGAAATGACGTCTATTTCGGTCCTAACGCTGCCGTGCCACGAACCGCCAGCGCGCCAAACGCACGTTTTTGCCCGGCGCTGATTCACAGCCGATCCCCCGGCTGTGCGGACGCTGCCATATCCGGCGCCGCGCGCTGCCAGATCGCGCCGTGCGCGCCCATGAATCGCCATCAGAGACGGAGCGGAGCGTACGCGAGAGGAAATGGGGCGCGGTCTCGCCCGCCTCGCCCTCGGAGCGAGCGTTCCGGAGCGGGGCTGGCGGCGGCGGCGGCCAAAGCGGCGCGCCGCGCCGCGATGGGTGTCGTTTGTCGCCGGGCCATCGTGACCTCGTCACCGCCGGCGCTCACGCTCGCCGCTGGCCGGGCGACCATTTGTTTTCACGGACAAAGGGTTTTTGCGGAGGGCGGCGGCAGAAATAGAACTCGGAACCTGCTGCTGGGCTAATATTATGCTCGCCAACGGACGAATCGAGCGCGAGGGAGCGGCCGAGTCGTTGCTAAGGACAAAAAAGAAGTGGTTTGTTTTGTTTGTTTCTTCTTTAATGTGTG